GTGCCTTCGAGGTTTCGTTCTCTTTCAAAACATCCTTGGCTTCCCATCGGGACGAGCTGGTTGCAATGAGATTCTCGTTGACTGCCTCGGGCGGAAGTGGCCCCTGGAATTTCATCTCAATCTCGCGTAGCTTCAGGGCCTTGCAGCAGGTTGCATACACCCTCCGGCGTGGAAATAGAAGGATTATTAAGTTATGCTGTTCGACTCTTGCTAGTTAATTAATATTAGCTGCAGAATTTCGTTTGAAACCGTGGCCGACTATCTACTCCTAGCTGGTTGTAAAACACTAGACGAATCTTGCTTCGTGTCTGTACAACCTAAGAAAACACAGAAACTCAACAATTAATCAGTTAATATCCAGGACACACATAGCAAACCGGGATTGCTTCCCAGTGCGAGAAGAAAAGACGTCCCCACTTTGATCATCATCCCTCTCTGGATAACAGAAGGCACCCAGAACGAAGCAGCCGCATCCACCACATCCAGGCCACACCTCATCGGGAGCATGACAAAGAATCTCCGAATGGCGTTCGGTTGCAGCAGGAGTGGCAATCAGCAAGTAAATTGAAAGTATAAATACTGCTAGGAGCTGATTGTAATAGTTATCAAGTCAAAGTATCGAACAATCCAAAACACACTACTCACATCATATCATGGACCAAGGTGCTTCCGTGCCTGGATAAACCCTTTCATGTAATTCAGCGAGGACCGGTTGTGCTGATGTGCTGATGTACCGGATGCAGCAGACAATATACTGTCCAAATGCACATCTTGGCCTTAATTTGCACGGGCACGATGTCACCCACTGGTTGAAACTCACTAAATTTTATTAAATTACACATGAACCGGACATAAATACATGTATGGTCAGTGCTTATTATTATTATTAATGTTATTATTAAGTCCCCAAGACGATGATTTGGGCATTTTAGTAAATGTGACAATTTAGTGTTTTGACAGACACCTTCAGGGCACTGTCTGGCTCTAAACTAAAGCTTATCGGCCTGTCCGAGACTCAGTCTGTGCACATCCGGCCAAGACCAAGATGTCAATAGTACGGATATCTTGCACTGACCAGCAGTAGAAATGAACATATGTCAGCGTGGTCCGATGACCTATAATAACTATCGTCGTCTGCTAGATGTAATTAACAAGAAGTTTTTGGTTAATTTAGCTAGTAGAACGAGACTAACTTAAAGCATGGGCCGATGTTGATATATGTGGGGCGTATACTTATGTAAATATACACGTACGACAATACATATGTATAAGTATTTTTAGTGTATATATATATAAATAATAAATTAGTCATGTACATACTTAGATTCAATGGGTTGGTAAAGTATCCAAAGTATCCTTAATTCATGTGTTTATATTATATATATATAATGTTTTTCTGGATATATATTATTTGTGCTAGTATCTAACAAATATAAATGAGAGGGGGTGTTACATATGTCATGTGCCTGTATCTTTAATTATGTACTATTACTGTCGTTGAACTGTAGACTATTCAAACTGGTGAATTAAAGTCGATATGCTTCGTCGCAAACGTGTATGTGTATCCGAAATTTGTAATCACAGGCAAGACTCTTCCTGTGAAGGTCTCCGGCTGGAACAGCTTCTGTTTCAATCCTCGCACCGTCGTCCCCTCCCAGTCGGAATCTTGAAGTTTGACAGACGTGGCTTGGTCGGGTCCGTCCAGAAGCTTGGAGTATAGAGCCTTGATCCCAACTGTGCTGAGATTCGTGATCCCAGCTGTGCCGCCCTTGGATCCACGGCGAACAGCATCTTGCATCGATGCAAATTGTTCTTCTACATTTGCAGAGAAACTCAACCGTGGATAATAGGCCACGACGAGGTCTCGCACGGCCTGTGTCAACTTGAATTGCTCGGCCTCGAGACCCACCAGTGTCTCTCTGTAGACTTGCCACAGGACATGTGGGCAAAGCTTGTAGTAGCTCGGCTGTGCTTGTTCGTGACTCCATAGAAAGCACAGTGGCCCATTCAAGCTCCAGGGTTTGCAAGATCTGGGACTGCACGTCGTTCAGGCTCGGGACTCTCGCGGACTCTGTAAGAAGTAGGCCGGCGCTCGAAGCCGGAGCAGCCGTGAGGTACAGTTGGTACGACCCGAGTTCGTACAAGGTAACCAGGCATGCGTCCAAGTGGTCTCGTAGGAGGTCTTGTTCCACTGGGTTTCGTCGCATCACCAGTCGCAAAACCTTGGGCAAGGGGCTAGTTTCGGTTCCAATCAATGACTCAGGTGAATGCTAGCAACCGAAATAATTGTTTGATTGTTAATTAATAGATATTATAGCCTTTGGCGGCTTAACCGCACAGCCTCAACAAGCCCATTACTAATCGCTAAACAGGCGGACTAGCCGCCGTCGTTGTTCGTCCATGCGGACTAGCCGCCTCTGGATATTGCGGACTAGCCGCATTACATCTAGCGGACTAGCCGCCATGCTTAGACTATTGGATTAGACTAGATTCCGTGCGGACTAGCCGCATGTACCAGTAGTTGTCGTTTTATTTATTCACAGTAACTAGTGGCTAAGGTACAGTTTCATTGATTGATTCATTATATTAATTAAATCTTAGCAAACCACGGATCTGGTTTCAGCGGAATAGCCGCTGCACCTGTACTACATGTATTTGGGTGGTGAACCGAACTCAGCATTTACAAGAATGCGACGAAGTAATTCTTGCTAGCAGGCAGCAGGTCTGAGGCTGAGCAAATGAATCACAGCAGCGAGGCGAAAGTAGGATCTTTTTTACTCACGGAGCACAACTCTAGCCGGATCTGTGCATTGCATCAGCTGGCAATCCAGCTCTTTAATTTTTTTGTCAATAATAAACAGTTCACGAGGCAATGCAGCCCGAACCATAGCCCAAGCACTCGCGATCCTTGCTCTTGTTGTCCTGGCCCTCGCCACTTTCTGCTTCCCACTCGTTGTTGTCATAGTAGCGAATCTGGGATCTCCAAAGGTAGGCGTGGTGTTCCCATGCCCTCTTTGCAGTCCGTTTGGTATGGTCAGGAGTACTGACTCTCACGGCCGTTGGGCAAGCAGACTCTGTGAGCTTCAACATCTGATAACCACGTGGAAAAGATTTTTTCACTTGGTCGATAAAGCTCTGTCTCTTGTCTTCCCTGATCTGGCATGCCTTGCATTCCATAGGACACTGGCAGACGAACTTAGCAGCCACCATCGCTTAGATCGGAGAGTTGAGAGGGCGGGGGCTCCAGGACTCTCGGTTTGATCCGTGCATTGCGGATGCCATGTTCTGCAAATCATCACATCTCAACACACTAGCAGCATAAATCCAGGAATCCAGCTGATCGAACTGAGAGTGTTTGCTGGCATATCCGTGTCAAGATATGCAAAACCTGGTTTCTGTTAGTCAAACCAAAATCATTTGCATGTACCCAGTCGAGTAGCACCAACGTCCAGCTCTATGTCCGGCTGCGGAATCATTCTCGCCAAGACTTGCTGGCCTAGGCCCTCCTCGATGATTCTGGTCAAGCGACCAGTGAATTCGCCACTATTGCAAAAGGCCGTGTGCTCGTGCAAGGCATTCAGCTTCGTCTTGTTGGATTGCTCAGATGAGGCAACCGATGCTGGATTACTTTGCCCATAAGAAACATGTAACAATCGGCAACAGGCTAGGGGTTGACTGCATCATCAGCTCACTCGAACACATGCAATCTAGCGGCAAGCCAGAGGCACATCTCGCAAAAGGGCTCCGTGTAGAACTGAAGGCTTTCGAAGAGCTTGTGGCCGTGTTCATCAACCAAAGCCTCCCAATGCGACACAAAATCCTATCGAGACCGATTCAATTCAAGTCCTGTGGTCTATCGTTCGGATGTATGATGTGCTGATGAGGAGCCCGGATGCAGCAGTCAAGGATGCGGTTGTACTGTTGCCCATCGTCTCCAGTGGCACCCACCCCCATGTCTGCGAAAGGGTTCACACCCTCCTGATAGGACTGAGACCACTGCTGCACATTTACATCTGGGTTCCGCTCGATAAGAGTTCCGAGCCTCCAGGCACTTCCAAAGTACCACAAGCAGCGTCGCACTGTAGTACTTTTTGAAGCCGGCTGCACAAAATCCCCAACTGCACCACCGACCGGCTTTGTAGGACGAAGAGCTTTTCCTTTGCAGCATGGAAAGGATTAGAAACTTAATTCAGTAAGCTAGCAGGCACAGGACGTCAGGAGCATTCGACAAACTACAGCCAAGTGTCTTACTTGCTTTGGCCACAATCTCGCACACAGTCTCAAATGCGTGCACTCCCTCGGCGTTTGCGTCCAGTCCATTCCTCGGCTGAGCACACAATTGTCGCAAGGATCTAAGTAGGTTGGAATATCGCCGACGGAGGCGGCGAGTCGGTTCCAGTCCAAGACACTCTGCCAAAATGGATGAAGCAAAGAGCTGCTGCAGCAAATCCTCCGAATGGGCCTGTCTGCAGGAGCTATGCTACCAAGGGTGCATGGAAGCCGGCAAAACGGATTTACCAATGCCTGCTAAACAAACCAAAATGCAGCATTGGGAGCACATGTAATGTAGTCCAAGCAACCACCTGAAGGTACCGGTGTGCAGCCTCCTGCCAGGAAGCTCCAATCTTGCATGTGTCCCAAGGACCACGTTTCGCCTTCATCAGCCACTCACTGAGTGCCCAGGTTCCTTAGCCAGTAGCGACATGCAAACAAATAACATCCCCGAAAGAGACTAGATCGATCACATCAGAACCCACTGGGACTAGTCCTCGCTGCGTAGCACCAGCTACACAGCTGGAAACGGAGAGCACGGTGCACAATCGGCTCAATTTTGACTGAGGCTCTCTTGATGGATTTGTTACACTGAAACAATCGCAAGAAATGTGTCTGCAACTTGTGCCTGGGTCACAATGGCGTGGGGATCTGGACAGGGCGTGCTGCGGGTGGACTTCAAACTTGAATTGGAACTGGGACCACCAACAACATCATCTGCCACCTGGTCACAACTCATCACGAACGAAGTTCACCTTGAAATTGCGATTAGCAAGGAACGTGAAGGCTGCCCAGAGTGTGGAGCCCTCGTCCGGAGCCAAGATGAGTCGTAGGTTGGACTTGTGCATGGGCGTGAGGTGGTCCCACGTTGCCTCACCCGTGTTTGGGTCCCAAAGCCAAGCTTTGCCGTCCTCCATGATCCTCTTCTCGTTCCGTGCGGTGTCCAACGGACGAAGCACCTGAGTTCCGACCAGTAGCTCCAGGTCGAGCACCGACAGCACGTGCATGCAGGCCCTCATCTGTTCCCTCGCAGAAAGCTTCTTCTGGCGCATTTTGCTGATCATCTTCGGCCTAAGCAACAAGGGTTATTTCGGGGATTGGCACTCCAAAGGAACTGAGCAACACAGGCACGACAACCGAGTCTTGCTGCTGCCCAAGTGCATTTTGCGAAGCGAGGCTTGTTTCCCTTCGGCAGCCGTCTCTGCAAACTTGTCCATAATTTTCTGGCCCTCTTGTACTTTCGTTTCCACAGAGACTGTGCTCGCAGCCAGAGCACTGAGCCTCTGAAGCGGTAAGGCCGCTGCAACTCTGCCAGCAAAGACAATCGGGGACCAGACCTCGGACTCAGTTGTGGGGCAGCCCTGGCCCGAGCATCTGATCCATTGAATCAAAACAAGAGACATCCAGCTTCGCCTTTGGCGATGCATCCACTATGAGTTCCAGCGACCGAAATTCCTGTCGACGGAGATCCTGGCTGTAACTCGCGGTGTTTCATGCTTTGCTGTTTCAGGGCTAAGACTGCTAAAATACAGGGAGGACAGGAGCTGGCAAAACTGCACCTCTGGGCTTGTGAGTCCTGTTGTGCAAGAAACGAGCCTTGTGCAGCTCCGTGGCCGATTTTTGCCAGTACCTGTAGAGGAAATCGCTGGCCAGCCTCGGATGTTCAAAATTGAGTCTTCCAACAGAAAACACAATATTATTAATAAATATGTCTTGGACAAAGCAACAATTCCGACAACACAATTTGTGAAAGGTGCCTGTGATGATGCGACGGAATCACATCAGCCAGGCCCAAGGATTGCAACGTCTCGTCATGGGAGGTGCCGAAAGTCCCGGCGCTTCTGCACAAGAACCGCTCCATGCTCANNTGCTTCGGCTTCGCGTTGTTGCGGAGGCATCTGCCACTCCTGAATTTGGGAACACGTCGCAGTTGCAATGGCCAAGCAAATTTCGTGTACAACTGCCAGGCAGCTGAGGAGCTTGCGGCACGGATGGAACTCATCCGTGCCACTGACTTCGGGAAGCTGCTTCAGGACAATAGTCTCAAGATAGCTTTCGGCCGTTTGCGATATGATGTGGATCATCCGTTTCTGTATTCTGGCTGCATCGCATCGTCCCTGCAATCATGGTTGCCCTCACATGAGCTGCTGACACAACTCCAAAAGGTCTTACTACAGCATGCCATGACAGGCCTGGCACAGCTTGTCCTCCAGGCTTATCCTCAAGAGAAACCAAACGACGGTGCCCAAGCGAATTCCTCAAGGAAGCACTGCTAAGAGCAGAAGGGAGGTCTTCATGCTGCAAGAGAGCAAATGGAAAATGGAACATCGCATAACAGAGCATGCAATGAATTGTCCTCGTTGCAGTTTCTGTGTCGCCATGGGGAACACCTTTGTTTTTTGCCACCTGGACACTCTCTCTCTCTCTCTCTCTGTCTGATTGCACACGAGACATGGACATTGGAAACATCGCGTCTCAGTTCTGGTAACCCTGCCTTTGTGTGACTCCAAGGAAATCCAAGGTAGCGGCCCAAGCATCCAAATTCACTTCGTGAGCAGCGACTAGAAGCTGGCCTCTGCACAACAGCAAGATGCACTAGCTAAATATTTGCCTCAGTGAAACACATCAAAATTTCAAAAGGTGACGAGGTCATGAGACAAGAATCAGACGGGCACGTTTGGGAGCAAATCGATCTTTAGGTCCGGCGGAAGCAGAGTGTCGGCGAACAGTTCAATAGCAGCAAGGGATGTCTTTTGATGGCTCGGCGAACAGCCGCGTTGCTGTAGGACACAGGAGACCTAAACTTCCGAATAAGATTTGAAAATTGTTTAATGGTGCCACTTGCAGCATAAAACCAATCCAATGGTCCATTAATTTAATCAGATCCCAGCAGCCATGAGCAGGTATCCAGGACATGTGACACCGTTGAACCGAATGACAACCGGGATCTCTGCTTTGGCAACCTTTTTGCCTTTGTAGTCGTAAGGCCGTATGATATGTCGCCGTAGATCTACCTGCCATGCTTCTGCAAGCTGCCTCACAGCTGTCGTGGTCCTCAGTGTTGGCAAAAAACGAGGCAAATCGAATGGAAAACCTGCTCATTTCTGTTGTTTCATGCACACTCACTTAATAAATGCAATCAAATCTCGCTTTGCAGAACCAATTGTGGAACGGTTGCGTCCGAGCTAGCATTGGCCAGATCTCTTCCACTCGGAATAGCCAGGCATATCCGAAGGAGTGTGGAACAAGGTCGAACACCTGTCTTCTGGCCATTCTTAGACTAGAGGCGACACTGCTTGAAGTCACAGACAGAAAAGCATGGTATTGAAGCTTGCCTTGTGTAGCTGCAAGACACCCAGCTTCCCAATCTTGCATCGAACGAATCCTACTTGGCAGTCAGAGTACTCCACAAAGTCAGTATTGGGTGAGGTAGAGCTGGCAGTCTCTGGCGACTCTTGCTGCGGCTCAGATGGAGCTAGCCACCCATGCATGGAGGGTCGCAACATCAATCCAACACTGGCTGCTTTTCCACGGAACTCATCCAGAACGGCCTGCACTGCATTGCATCACCAAGTAGAATGAGATTGGCTGTTTTCAAACGACACCCCGTGAGATTCGATCTTTGTTTGTAACAGACAGAAGAAGAATAATCGCAACAAGAAGAGTAATAATTCTAAGAAGAAGAGGAATGACGAAAAAAACTAATAATAAATTAATAAAGAACAACACCGAAGAACAATAATCACAAGCAACGAATGAAATCTTAATAAACGGACGAAGAGTAATATTTTGAGTGATCATTAATTAACTACTAAATAATATAACAAGATTAAAAAATAAGCAGGAGCATGAATAGTAAAATTTTAGAGAGCAAGAATGATCCCAGTAATATCAGTCCTACTATTCTGATTACTCATAAGCACTATACTATAATAATACAAATGAACCTAGTACTACCAATTATTGTTACAATAATAATTAATAATTCAACTCAAAGAATACAACCCACAATTTTAGAAATAAATGAATCTAGTAGTCTAGACAATGGTTCGCGATCCCGTATTGAGGCCCAAGGGCATCCCAGGCAGGCATGGAGAGTTTCCCGATATTGGGACTCAATGGCTGTCCACCCAATATCTTCTTGTCGATTTGCGTCAGAAATGCCCGGCACTTTTGCAGCAGATCCTTTTTGTCGGCATCGTCCGTGGTCCTGGTAGCACAGAAACGAGACAGAACGTTGAGTGTCCAGACAGAACGCACAAATGCCCCAAACTGCCCAGCCCAGCGGCCTGGACAGCTCCAGGATCTTCCTGGTCAGCCACGTGTCCATCCTGTGCCTGATCAGAAGGGCAACTGCAGAACCAAGTTCCATCTGGCCTCGCGTCAGGTTCTGGTTCTGCTTCAGCCGTTGTGCGTGCGACTCGTGCGGCAACGTGCCGAGTACCCAACTGCTGAAACAGAACGGTCCAGACAGAACGCACTAATGGCACGTATTTCTCGAGACGTCTCAAGAAACACTGTTCTAACCAATTCCGCGTTTAAGGGTTCTGCTTCAGCTGTTTGGTGTGCGGGTCGTGCATGCGTGAGCCCAGTTTTGCACTCCAGACAGAACGTACTGGAGACAGCACGTGCCGTGCACACCAGTCCAGACAGAACGTATGGTGACTGGAGACAGCACGTTGCCAACACCCCGAGCCAGACAGAACGTTCGTGCCAGGCCAAAACCCCCAGACGGAACGCAACCCTCCCCTAAAAATACCCAAGGACGAGGCCCCAGTACTAAATATAATCGAACCAGCCAGAACCAAAATCCCAGGCCCCAGGCCGACCGGTTTGGGGCCGAGCTTTAGCGACTGCTGCTCCTAATAATAATAATAAGACACTATTCAGCTGTACTCATCACACAGTGCCCGGCCTCCTGGCTGCCACGGATCCCACCGACTGGTGCCAGAAAAGGAGGACTGCAAATCCAGCCGCCCAAAAAACTAATTATTATTCTTCTGACTGGACTTATTACCTTCCTCCAGAATCCAGACCATTTCATGTTTTGCATATTGAACTGAATGATTGAAATACCAACAATGCCACCAAGTTCCATGCTGATTATGTCGTTTCGATACACACACACACACTGACAACACAAACACCTCTTTCGAGGATTGCAGAAGTACCATGATGAACCATGTCATGTTACTCCGTTGGTCAAGCCGAGAAAGCACGACCCGGCCAAATGGATCCAGAAATCATTCAACCGATGGCTTCACTGTATTATTAGTCAACAAATGATTCAATCTATCACCCACAATATGAAAGCAGAAATTAATATCACAGAAAGCCGGCATTCCCTATTTAGTAGCAGTTTGATTTGAAAGTTTTTTTCAAGATTTGGTCCGTTGCAAACTTCAGCTGTCCCCTGGTGTGCTGAAGAGCAGGCACACCGATTCACGTGTGCCAAGACAAAGATGTGGCCGTGCAGCCTCTGAGTCTGAGTTCTTGAAATTACAGGACGGGTAGAATTTGGGTGCTTCTTCTGATTAGAATCAGAATCAATCAACTAGGTGCCACTGTTGTTTGCGACACTCACTCGTCGTCATCGAGGTCGTTTCGGGCATCCGGCTGGGCTGCCTGTGTCAATCAACCACTGAATCTGAAGGCACTGCAGTGGAGACACCCAAATTGCATCCCAAGTCACCTTCAACATATTCGGCCATTCCGAGAGGATCTTCTTTCCCCTCAAAGTTAACTTACCACGTAGGATCTGGCTCTTCTCGCCCAAGGATTCCATCCAGCTTCCTCGGATTAAATAGCATCCAAGGAGCGAGCGGACCAGCCAAAACCTCGATTCACTGGACATACCATTACAGCACAGAAGCCTCCCAGATCACAGATGAGCTCCGTGGCATCCGTCAAATTCAAGATATTCTCGGCCATGAGTATATCCACAAAGTGTGGGAAGTCCGACCTCAGAAAACAGCAACAACAGCACCACGACCACAAAACATCATAGCAAACTGCAGGACGAATTTCGCACGTGTTCTGAATGCTAGCAGGACACGGAGGCAAGGATGTCGGCAGGACCTCAATCAGATCCGTATCCATCTTCTCCAACTTAAGACGGATGCCCTCGGGGACCTGATCCCACTCACCACATGGCGACGGTAGACCAGGATCGTCCTGGAGGGCCTGAAGCTGAAGCTCATTCTTCTTTGTAGGGGCCGAAGGGAGGGCCAAAGCAAACTTGTCCTTGAAGACATCAGCATCCTCATCGGTAATGTTCTCCAGAGCCTGCTGGCGTTGGAGAACAAGCTCCTCATCATCCTCGTCATCCACGTTCTCGGAACTGGATTCGTCTTTGCCCTGCTGGTCCTCGGTGTCCTTCGGGCTAGCTGTCGAAGCAAAAGCAAGGCGACGGGGCTTCAGATCGGAGCGAGGCTCAGAAAGTCCATCTTCCATATCACAGGCCTTTCTCTTCCGTGCCACGGGGCCCGGGCCACAGGTCGAAGGCCTGGTCGTCTGTGGGGTAGTCGTCGCTTCCTCTTGACCTTTTTTGGTCTTTGCCGCCGGGTCGCTTGGCTGACAAACGAGGCTCTGCATATCGTTGCTGGCCTCCTGGAGCAGCAAACAGGCAACACATGTAAAATAATGCATTCTCTGTCAGCACGAGGAACTGCTTCTCTCAGTCAGATACTATGAACGACAATTTGGGAGTCTTGATCTGTCGTGATAGCATGATGTGTGACGGTGCATTTCACACGTAGTTTTACTGTTGGGCGACTGCAGGCTGACTGTGAGTGTTCGACAAACAGTAGAACACAGAACTCGGCTCTTTTTTTCAACACTGCGGCCAGTTCTGCGAAGTCAATACAGCAAGGAGCCATTGAAACTGCATCGGCCAGGTAGCTGGCAATTACTGTTCATAGTCACGGCACAGCCGAGACAAAAGATTCACGTCGCGTTCTTCCCCGCTCGTTGTCTCTTCGCACCGTAGACATCCTGCTCCAGCTGGCGGGTGGACTTCCCCATGAACCTCGTGTTGCTGGAAAATTCAGAAACAAATTAGTATCATGGCAATAGGAAATGATAAGAGTAGTCTCAGAAACTGTTTTAGTTTTAATTTAACAGTACTGAAGTGCCTAGGCCTAATCATTTAGTTACTTAATTATTTTGGAATAATCATTTTAATGGCACGACGACGAAACTGTGATTTATTTATTCTAATCTAAGAATAATGATAGCTCACTCTAGTTTAGGGTTGAGGCATTAGGCATTTAGTTAATTTAGTGTATTTAAAGGGTTTAGGTTTTAGGGTTTAGGTTTCAGGGTTTAGGTTTTAGGGTTTAGGTTTCAGGGTTTAGGTTTCAGGGTTTATTTATTTTATAATATAGTTTAGTACTTATTTGGGGCTTAGGATCACAATGCAGTGCCAGTCACCTCTTGTCCAACGTGATCTCCACCTCAGAGTCGTCCTTGTCCTCATCACCAGTCTTCTTCACCCTCCTCAGACTCAGAGTTTTCGTCAGCTGCTTGGAGCTTGAGGAAGTAGCACCCTCCGGCTCGGCGGATTTCTCGTCCACCACCTGCACCGGCACTATCCTCGCGAAGATCTCGAGAACACCCAGGCCACCATCAATGGGGAAGTTCGCAACCTTGTTGATCTTGATCGGCCTTGCTTTGGGCAGCGGGGATCTCGGCTGAGACAAAGCCGCAGCCTTGGCTTCTGCACGGCTGGGGGCCGCCGCTTCGTCCGTCACCTGCTCGGTGGCCAAGTTCGCCGTCTCCGCCTCGCTGGCCCGCTTCTTCTTCTTCTGCTCGGCGCCCACGTTTTTGAACTGTTGAAAAGGCATCGGCTCAGGCTCCTCTGGTGGGGGCGGCGGCGTCTCCTTTGGCACCTTCTCCCATGGCTCCTCCGGCGGTGGCGGTGCCGAGCGGTGCTGCGGAGACTGCGGCGGCGATCCCCTGAAGGCTGCTGCACCTCCTTTTCCACTTCTGCTGGCACCTGCATTGGCGGAGCTTCTTCAAGCTGTTGCTTCGCTAACTTGGCCAAACCATCTGCATAGGCCAGCAGAAAGACCGGGTTCGAAGGCGGGGCTCCCATCCCTGGCCATCCTGCCATCGGCATTGACCCTGGCATCTGCAGGGGCGGCCCCGGCATCTGCATAGTCGGCCCTGGCATCTGCATCGTCGGCCCTGGCACCTGCATGGGCCCTGGGATCAGGGGCGGCCCTGACATGCCAAACATGCCGCTCATAGCCATGGCTGCAACGGCTTGCTCACTAAAGCAGGCCATCCACGACTCCTGCAGGCCCTGGCAGCCAAAATGCTCTGAATTGCAACCTCCAAAGTTCGCTCATGGTCATGCTCTGCACAGATATGAACACTGCACTGAACAAGGATCAATGGAATCAACCAATGCATGTCTCAGTCGCTGCTGTGGTAGCTTCACTCACTCACTTGGCTGCAAATCATCGTGACAATAGGTGCTCTAATGAATCAACAACCCAGAGTCGGGCCCTTCTTTTTTTATCGGCCGATAGCAAGGCTTTGACTGGGCTTCGGTTCGAGCTCCAGACCAGAGAAAATCAAGCAGCTGCGACACATCTGTCAGTGGGAGGCTCTGCACGGGTCCCTGTCCCAACAGCATATTTCTGCTATCGCTGGAGTCTAGTATTACTTATTTATATGTTCTTCTTGAAGTCTTCGGAAGAAACTGCATTGCATCACCATGAGTAATAGTTGGGACAGTACCCCGGGCCCTCGTACCCTTGGCCCTTGTAGACTGGGCCAGCTTGGCAACACCACTCACATCCCGGCCCACCAGAACCACGAGTCTGCTTCAGGGCCTCTTGAGCATCTGCCACGGCCTTCTCGCGTTCCTCCAACCTCAGCTCTCGGTTCTTGAGCTGGCGTGCCTTCAGCTCGAGGAGCTTCTCCTTCTTCTCAATCTTCTCCTCCCGCTCCTTGTCCAGCTGCTTCACGAGCTTGCTGATATGCCCCAACATGTCCTTGAAGGGCTCGTCATCAGGCACGGGTTCCGGCGACTTCCTCTTGCCCGCCATGAACCGTCGAGGGGAGCTTCGCGAACAAAGGCCACTGAAAAAGAAAGCCCAAATTGCTGCTGATCACTTCAATCAAGCAATGGACACTTCCTTCTATCAATCAATGGAACAGGCATTTGTACTAGCAGACTGGACCCTTAGAAGAAGCAGGCAATGCACTGACAGGTCACCAAACCTTTGATTAATGATTTATTACTACTCAGTGCAGTCAGTCGGGTCTCCTGCTTCAGCTCGGACAATCTCCGACCGATCATCTGCTCCAGCTGCTCACGGGAAGTCTTCTGCTTCCTGAAGCACTGTTTGCTCGGCAGCAAATTTTCGGAACTAACAGGGCCAGCTTCACACCTACTCGATTGCCAATGAATCAATGAATCATGAAGGCTGACAACTAATCCAATATTTAGCCGGGGAGCTTTCGGTAGCGCTTGGCCATGCTACGGAGCAAAATCGCCACATCCTCCACAGTCTTCGCGTTCATGATGTTGATGGACGAGAGGCTTTTTCCACAGACTGGGTGTGCGACTCGAAACTTGCTCATGCTACTTGCTTTCACTCACACGAATGGAAGCTGCCAAAAAAAGATCTGCAGCCAGGCAGCCAAGCTGACACAGATTCGCGAGTCGTTTCTTCCATCTCATGCTCGCTGCTCTGGCCTGGAGAGGAGCACTGGGTCTATAACTATATCGGGGCAACCAGCACACACTAATAAGAACACAGTCCGTGAGTCAGTGCATGCAGTCCTGATTGATTGCATCGCCTTCACCATCCTTGTTTTTCAACTTCTTGAACCTGTCCTTGTTCTGGGAGAGCAAAGCTTCCTGACAAGTTTGCCGACTAGCACGAATCAGGCATAGGTCTCGGGCTGCACTTCTTACAACAACAGAAACAAGCAAGATCGAAAACAAGTGCCCCCCTCCAGTTGGTCCAATGCACGATTCAACAAATTGGAATGTCTCCCGTGGCAAAGCCCTATAAATTCAACTTAGAAGCGACGTCCCCGCCGATTTCCATCACATCTTGAGAACATACGGAATCAACGACGTTGCTGATTGCCATCGCCAACTGCGTGGCCGAAAGGTCCTCGGCACGAGCCTGCTTCGGGCTGCGACTGAACTCCTTGCTGGGGAGTCCAAAGATGGATGCCAGCTCCGGCATCCCCTCCTTTGCGGATTCGGCACTCGAGGAATCCGATGACTCCGCACCTGGTCACAACTCCCACTGAATGACAACACAAATTCCAACCCTTGCATATAAACAGCTAAGAATCGTTTCTTGTTCTTCTTGTCCTTGGCCTTCTTCTGCTTCTTGCCAGCCCCGTCAGCGTCACCTGCAGCCGGGCGAGAAAAGGGGTGGGGTGTTTTATTTATTATTACAACGATTGGTCAGGTTTGCAATCATGACTTGAGCCTGTAAGAGCTTTGGCCAGGCGGGAGTGTGCAGAGGAAAGGAGGAAGCCGGCGGCTTCCTCCTTCTCATCTGTCTGCGGGGGCTCCACGGAGCGGGTAGACAATGTCCTGAAAGGGCTTGGAACATAGTCGGCGAATCAACAATTGACAATGACAGTAGCTTTCACTCACAGGCTGCTTAGTTAGCAGTAAGTACCTCTGGCAGACTACAGAAGGAATCAGCTTGCAGCAAGCATAGTCTTGGAATTCCGGTCCTCGTAACCTTTCGCTTCAGCATCATCAGCAACTCACCCCGGCTCAACAGGAAACCAGACTGCTTGAGCGACCAAAACTTCTCGACTCGAACAGCAGCTTTGGCATTATCTACAAGACTGCGGTTCCTGAAGGCTTTGGCAACCCCACTCTCGCAAGCTTGCCCAATCAACCAAAAGTGCAACCGGGTACTCGGCAAACGAATATCAGCTGCTGTACAATGGCTAGCCTATTGCTGAAAGTGCTGGGGTTTGCTTTGCCAATACTGTGTCGTTATATACTAATACAAACTTATTATAACTGACTAGGCAACCCTTCGGCGGCTAGTCCGCCAACTCACTGAACCAATATTTGCTGCTATTTTACTGGATAACACTTAACAAGTAAATAGCTATAATTAAGCGGATCGAGACCCAGCATTTGGCAAAGCCAAGGCTACCCACTACATATATTTCCAGCGGATATCCGCTACGTTGCGGAGCCAATTACTCACAGTACAGGATTTATTTAGTCTTAATACTAATTCCACAAGTACTACTTCAGTTCGCGGCTAGTCTGCCAACTGAACTACTAATATTAAATGCCTCTGACTGAGTCAAGTCAAAACCCCGTCCAAAGGCTACCCACGACGAAATAAAATTAAACAAGTCACAACATCGCGGATAGACCGCTCGCCTCGTCTGGGAAGCGGCTAGTCCGCTTCCCAGACGACAATACAAGCAGCGGCTAGTCCTCTGCCCACGAAAGTAAGTGCTACTCTATTTAGATCAGTTAGTAGCCACCAACCCAGACGTACTAGTGCTCTAGTGACGGCTAGTCCGTGGCATACACGTCTTATCGAATGTCAACAATATACCCTACTTACTACTAAATAAATGAGCGGCTAGGCCGCTCCATTGATTCATGCGCGGCTAGTCCGCACATATTAGCTTGCGGCTAGTCCGCACAAACTTAGCTTGCGGCTCGTCCGCACAAACTTAGCTTGCGGCTCGTCCGCACAAACTTACAAACAACGGACTCCCAGTCTATTTATTTATTTATGTAGGTTACGTGGAAGAACATTAAATTTAAAACTGCACCTGACAGGCAAAGCAGCCCGATTTTCTGTCCCTGCTTGCTTATCATCTGTGCTTCTCTAATCCAAGGGCACCAGCCAGGACGTGGGCATTCCCACGGATGCAACAAAACCTGCGGGGGTTCAGGGTTGGGAAACAGTGGGCACCGGGGCATGACCCGAACACTCGTTCAAAACATTTGCTTGCAATAATAACCTAGGGGCTGAGAACTTAGTCAGTGCTCAATTGGAGGAAAAGCAAACCGGCTCTATAAATAAATCCAAAATATATAAAAAGGGGTGTCTCAGGATCTTGCAAGACCCATTCCCAAACAGATTTGGCCAAGCCTCCGGGATGGCCAATCAATCCCAAACACCAGCTAGGCGGCATTCTCCTGCTGGTCCATTGCCACCTCAGACAGACAAAAAGTTATTCTGTTTCCTCCCCCACACTTCTGAAGCACATGAACCGAGAATCCACGAACAGACTTGACAGTCGCAGCTGTACATTGACTCGATGCAAACAAAGCATCGTCATCATCTTCCACCCCGTCTGGGATCTCCCATCCCTGGTGGAGGAGGACCAACCGCGGATTCGCATCCTTGGGGCTGCAATGATAATAATAACAGGAAATGCGTGGGAAGATTCACTACTAAATTGGCGGCCTGAACCAACCTTGTCAATTGTCTTGCAGTCTGTCGGTTCAAACACCAGAACTTCTGCTTCTGGCACAATGTCCCTCCTAACTGCCCTGTCTGAGGACTCATTCTCTGTTAATTAATTGAATTAACAATAATATTTATTATACACCACCCCAACCACGGCCAAAATGCAAAACAAGAGTCGCGAAACCTCGCATACCTCGGATGCATCCACGGATCTTCGGCCCAAAGATTGATCACCTGGCCAGGAGAAAAGGTACTCTTGCCAACGGAGCTGCAATGGTTACGGTGCAAAGCTGAGCACAAACAGATTTATTTACTTAGAATTTTCTCACTTAGTCCCAACTCAGAACTCCTAGTTAATTTGATATTATCAACTTATCATAAGTACTGAGTCAACACTACAGTACAACACTGACTAACGATTGCACTGACAAAGGGACCAATCACGAGTACTAGGACTAGAGACACTTGCCACTGCACTGCCGCAGCGAAGAACTCAGAACCAGCACCCCAGCTCAAAAACAGAATGGCAGGCACCTCCAATGCTTGCAGGGCCAGCAAAGGTACAGGATCAGGCTTGCCAATTTTGCGATTCGGAGCCAATGGCAAACCCGAGCGATTGTCCAAGTCCTGGGAGGAGATGCTTATTATTATTATAGTTTCATCTAATTTTGGAAGAATAGCATTCAATAGGCAGTCGACACAAGAAATTTCGAAAGTGACCAGCATGCCCAGCGAAAGCGAATCCAATCAAATACACACATTAATTAATTAATTTATAATGTCTGATTACTAGTATCGCAACAGCACCCCTGATCGCGCGTTTCCCGTCTGTTCCCAGATATCAGACTAAGTGACTAAAAGCATCGAGCACTAATCATGGCATGATACAAGAGCTGCCAGGGCCCTGCCAAAATCCGGGATTGTCCAATGGATATCATCCAGCAGAGTTTGCGGATCGTGCTGACGTCTGATTTTGAGCAAACCAGCCACCTCAATATGCGAACCCGGCAACACAATCAATCCAACCACGGCTCCAGGTCAACTAACTATTCCGAACGAAGCAGCAAATCACAAGTTTCTTTGGCAACAAAGGAATAACCATATCTAAGACATGTGTCTGCTTCCCCGAAGGTCGCCGGATAGGCCTGCGATGTAGCCGTCGACGAAGTCGTCCATGAACCGTCATCTTCAGAAGCAGCCAACACCTCTCCAGCTCGCTGGAAGAACCTCGGACAAGATTGATGCATTGTAAGTTGGGGGACACTTATCCTAGATTTCCTCTTAAAACTATAGTGTGGGCAGCAACAACCTCACCGCCACAACCGATCTCCTCAGATGCATGCCTGGGAACTCTTCTTTCAAAACTCTCAAGGATGCCAAAGCCGCAAGACCCCGCATCATGAACAGATCCGTGCCCATGAGTTGTGTTGGCTTCCTGAGCAGATCAAACCCAACCGATCCTACCTCGTTACCTAGCATGAAATTACAGAGATTTATGGATGAAACCGCTCAACCTGCAATCCCGGATTCGGTGAGCGATGACCAAAGGTCCCCATGCTGAAGGACACTTTCTGGTACCCACAAGCAGCCATTGATACCTCGCACCACTGGATCCACTGCACACCCTGGCTACATTCAAATTATTCTGTTCTTCACTCTACTACACCAAAATCTCAACAACCTGCTCAAATTACAATGGCGAAGTGCCTCTACGTCGGGAAATGTGAAAAACACGGAATTGGCCGGCTGCTCGATCACCGAGAACACCTGGATGTTGTAGCACAGCTGCATCAAGTGGCTTTCGAACTCCTCAGCAAAATGTTGAAGCAATCGATCGACCAAGCCCCACCATTCGATACATATGATGCAAGACTCGGCGTGAATCCTGATGCCTATTTCTCGGCTACCCCCAATACGATTGTTGAAGACCTTATTTATGTCATCTGGCTGACGGAAGCCTCAGCGACATGTTCAGCTGAAGAGTATTATTTGGCGATCAATCAATCAATCAAATCAACGAAGCTGGCCCTGCCATCTGATGCATTATGCATGAATCAATAAGAAATAAATCAAACAAATATGATTTGCCTGATACTACTAATAATAATTATTGTTTATTTATTTGAAATCCGAATTGCTGTCGGGCCGCTGCAATCGCATTTCCGTCCTTCACGAACCAGCGACTGCTGTCTCCGCGTGGGTCCACATGTCGTCGCCTCGGAATTCTCACAGGGAGCCCCCACAAATCCGTGTCATAAATTCTGATTTAATATTAACTATAGTCTACTAAAGGGGAAAAGTAAAACCTATTTCCAATCTCAGCATCAAAGTTCGAGGTTGCGAAGCATGCAGGGCTAAAGGAACTGGAGGGGGGTGCAGACCATCGAAGCCCATGCATCTTCACTCGGAGCAGCATTCCCAGACCTTATAAGATCACAAACCATTGGCAACAAGAACATTTAAACTTGGAAAACCAACTAACCCTCAATCACTCAATGAATTACACAAAAACAGCACACATAATATATGATATTTCACACCCAAGCAGCAGTTTAATTGCCCCGCCTCATAAAACACATCTTGTGCCCGACCGCCAGTACCGATATCGAAGGTGGCCACACGAAGACCAGCCTGGTTTCGCCCCGAATAAAACCAATTCAAATTCAGTAGGGATACGATCTGAAACACAAACGAAAATTAAAAATGAATGCTCATAATATCGGGGAACATGACGACATCGATCAGTCAACACCTCCTGCCCGCTATACATCTCCAAGACATCAAGATCACGGTAGGGATGACCGCCGGGCGACATATAATCATCTCTCAGGCACTGAGGAAAATTCTCGGATATATAGAGACACAGCAGTGGCGGCAGCCCATCAAGAATCGACGGCTTCTCCATTGCCCGATACCGAAGAAATCAAAGCGACACTCGAGCAGAATATAGCAACGACAAGCCAGTTGAGACAGAACGCACAAAATGAAACACCACGGTCATTGAGACACCCCGACTATGGACACCTATGATCTAAGGCGTCTGCGGAGTCTGGGCTTAAGGGGAGTCGAAGCCTTGTCTGGAGCTTCAATTGAAGAGATGCGGTCTTGTTCTGAGTGGGGATCCTTCCCAGCGTCGCTTCAAGCGGCGAGGCTTCGCACGATGGATGCGACTGGCTTGCTCTTGGCTTCAAGCCTGTTTTGAAGGTGGATGAACCCAGACGCCAGAAAGGAAAGCCGTAAAACCTAAGGGCCTTCAGAGTCATCAACCCCGAAACACAACTTGGATTTTGGGCGATCTGGCATTTGACAGCTGGGTGGACCGGCTTGTATTGTTGATGGTTGAGGGTTCCGAAAATCGTACACAAGGACTCTGCTGGAAAGTTGCCGGCGGTGTCGGTCGAGGTTTGGGAGTGTGTCTCGTTCTTCTCGGCCACCAAGCCCTGGCATTCAATTTCGGGCATGCGATGTGGAAATTCTTTCAAGCGGTGATGGCTGCAGGCTACACCGGCCGCGAGCTACGATGCCTCCGCTTATCTGGTTAGTACCAGCCAGTAAATGGATTTGGGGTTCCAAAAGCTTCAAATGCGTTGTTATTCGCTGTACTGACTGTTGCGATTACTGCTACTATTATGCTTGTTTTTTTCGTGTTGTTCTTCTTATTATTATTTTTCTTCTTGCTGCTGTTGCGGTTGTTGCTGTTGCTGTTGCTGTTGCTGCTGCTGCTGCTGCTGCTGCTGCCGCTGCCGCTGCCGCTGCTGCTGCTGCTGCTGCTGCTGCCGCTGCTGTTGCTGTTGCTGTTGCTGTTGTTGTTGCTGTTGTTGTTGTTGTTGTCGTCGTTGTTGTCGTTCTTCTGTCGCTGCCTGGCCGCAGGCGTGTCTGATCATGTGTTAAAATGTATGCATGCATGTTCCACCTCAAATTATGAAAGAGGTTTCTGACTCAAGAACCTATACATTAAATTATAGCCCCTGTGCCTACACCTAGGCCTGACGCGATATGTTTTTCCTCGCCCCGCAATCCTCGACCTGAAAGTGTATGGACCACCAGGAAGACCTTTTTTGTTGCGGCCGGTGCCCTAAAACCCTATATATAGACCATAAGCGCTCTATCCCAATGCAAAGAAGCATTCGCTACTGTTGCTCTGATCAATCATATTATAAGGGCAGCTCCTCTTAAGAACTTCTTACATCAATATACATGAATGCATAAAAAAAAGCTACGTAAACCTATAATTAGCAACTGCGGCTCTTCAACAACATCAGAAGTTTAGGGAATCTCCGGGTTCCTCGAGGCCACGCTCGGAGGCGATGGGCTCGTCCACGGCCAGGCGAATCGCCTTGGCCTGCGTTCTGCTGCGGCGAGAGGCGTCGGGGTTGAGTTTGGGAGAAGGGGAGAGTCCCCTAAAATTTAAAACGCTAGGATAGTTAGGGTTCAACTGGAGGTCTATACACTCGAGCTCCTGAGCAGCAGCGGCTTTGTGAAGTCTGCGGCGGAAGAATCAAATTGCATACTAGACCGTGAAGTGCGAAACATAAACTCTTGAAGCTGAGCTTGAAGTCAAACTCCTTTGCATACAATTAACTACTACTCAGACCATCTTGGTTCACTACTTCACTACCGTCACAAATAAGAAAGCCTGTACAACTACAGGTTGCTCTGTTAAATTATACAATCCCTAAAACTAGATCCTTTTTTGCATCTGGTTTGCAGCGACTCAACCAGGACAAGATCCTGCCTCTCGAAACCTGGGACCAATCGCAGGCAAGCAGTGAATCTCCTCATCTTCCAAGGATGTCCTGTGCTGGAGCTTCAGGGCTTTTTTTGGCCTCCCGCCTGGCTAGGGTTTTTTTTTTAGGGTTTAGGGTTAGTCAGTGAAGATTTCAGGGCTGAGGGGCTGCACGCGCTCTGGGCTTCAGAGCCTTGGGCAGTTATTTCCCAATCTTCTTTAATTCTTTGGCTCCAACCCCTTCTCATAACACTGCCCCTCTAAGGGCCCCTTTCAGGAACCGTTGGTTTGACATCTGATGCTAGTCCGTCCCGTCAATGACGAGAAGGATCAGAAGTTGATCACAATTCCGTCCTGGTCGAGCCCACCGGTATTTGTTCATTCGTTGGAAGTCTCGCTGCGCTTCTAGGATCTAATGTTATCAAGAAGAACAGAAGAATAATGGCAATCGCGAACTCTTGTCAATATGAAGTATCTGCGACTTTCGCAATCTTCCGTGTTGTGCCTGCTAGCAGTATGCATGCCGATCTTGAGACTGTTGAGTGCGGTGTGTGTTTTTACCGACTAGTATACCATCGGGTCAAAACAGGCTACCACCTGTGTATGTTGCTTTGCGTTGCGTAACAGCGGCTGCGCATTACCAGAGTACATTGCTTCCCTTGTGGCAATCGTAGCAGCTCGGCCATCTGCTGTGACTGTTTCGATCCTCTTCATCATCCTCTCCCTCATCCTCTAGCTGGTCTAAATTTACCTCCCGATCATCCTCCCCATCATGCTCCCGAAGTTTGGTCTCCCGAAAATTTACCTCCAAATTATCCTCTCCATCATCCTCCCGATCATCCTCCCCGACACCCTCGCTGATTACAATCAATGTCCCGATGCTCCTCCCGGTCATCCTCCGCAGATTGGGTCTACCGAAAATCTATCCCTTGTTTTGCTGTTTAGCTGCAATCAGCTACATGCCCAAATCTCCACTGAAGCTGGATACTCCCCATGTGCTTTCAGGCCCAACATCAGCCGCCTCTAAGCCTCTGATTCGGGATCTGCTTTCACTGGGAATGACTAATCGGATGAGTCGCCCAATCGTCTGATCAGAACCTATCTAACCATATGTAACCGAGATGCGCAACCTGCAGCTCGATACTGCTCAGTGTTCCAAAGCTACACGGTAGGGGAGGGGGGGGAGAAGACCTCTTTGAGGAAGTCTAGTCCCCTACCCCCCTCCCCAGTACCCTCTTAGAAGGGTCCCCATAAATTGCGATTCTGAGCCTCGTGCCTGCGACCTGTTGCTGCGATTTCCGCCGTGACAAATGGCCTCAGGCCCCAACCTATGGCTGTAAAAGCACCAATTTTCTTCCGTGCGTTGGTGTTGTGTTGCATCTTTCTTGTTCAGCTTGCTTGCGTGGGTGGGGTCTGGGAGCCCTCTCTCTTTCTCCCTCCCCGTTTCCCTGGTCTCTTGCAAGTACCGAGACTGCAGAGATGCACGGCGCGACCAACAGCCCCAAGAGAGACAAAGAGAGAGAGAGAGAGGGGATAAAACAAAGGACAGGGAACGAAGGAGAAAGCGACGAGCCGCTCGACATGATAACGTCAACTTCAGCCAGAGGGCGACGTGGGCTCAAAGAACAGCAGTCGCGTGGCGATGGTGGCAAATTGCGGTACTTCCTTGGTGCAGCTCGACACTTAAAACACAGGCTTGCTGGAGGTGATGGGACTCCTCAAAACTAGCAACAGCTCTCGTCGGGTCATCAACCATCGTAATCGCAAGAAGCACAGTAGTGCTAACATGTATGTTATAGAATATTCGCCTTATTCTGACGATTGCTATCGTTCTTGATATTCGTATCCGTATCTAGAGAGTTGGGGCAGGGTTGGGAGAATAGAGTTCAGGGCCTCGGATCTTTCTTTTCTGTTGGGCCTGCCGGGGTTTTAAGGCTCCGGCTTCGCCAGCCCAGGCCAGCATAGGGGGCTTAAGATGGCTTTAGCTTCAGCTTCAGGGTTCCGGGCCTAGGCGTAGGAGGCCCCGACATCACCCTTCCTTCTGCAAAAAGCAAGACAGGGCGGGCTGTAGAGTAGCGAGACCGAATGCTCTGGCATTGGCAGATGAAGTCAACCCCAGAAGCTCATCGGTTGCTCAAGCCGAAAACTTCAAAGACGTGGATTCTGAAACCGGCAAAAACAGCATTATGAGGTTCAGCAGTACACGACCCCTCTAGTCATGTGCGAAAACCAGGCTGCTAAACACGCGAGCAATCAAATTTTCAACCCCCGTCTCCCCAAAAGCCAGACAGCAGCCAGAACATGGCAGCCGGGGACCAACGAGTTAGCTACATCTGCCATTGGTGCGAAGCTGCAGCTAGCAGAAAGTGCAGAAGGGGGTGAAGCTTGCAAACCACAGCATGTGCAGCGGCACCTGAGCAAGCCAACTATGCTTCACTGCTTACAAACGGAGTTCTCGCAACTTCAAACCAGTTCGTTGCGTGACCCTGCTCTCAAGCATACCCCATGCCCCTCTATCTATCTATCTATCTATCTATCTATATATATATATATTTATAAGAGCTTATATAAGAAAAAAACCCCAAACCGCCTTAAACCCTCCGAATCCCGAGGAAGAGCCTGGCTCACCGCCCTGCTGGCGCATGAAGTGCAGGAAGTGGAGACCACGAAATTGCGGCCGCCAGTCAGGAGCGCCCCCATCCCAGCCTGCTTGAACCTTGCTTACCAGCGAGAGCTACTGGCAACTCGCAAAAACTTACGTTTGCACGGTGCAAAAGAATTTAGGGTTGTATGCTATAGGCTCCTGCAAGTCTGTATTGTGATGAAGAGATGACTGCACATGCTATCGGATCTAGAAGCAGCTCCCTAAACCCCCAGGTACCTACTATATAGGGTACTAGAGCCCCTAGTACCCTATATAGTAGGTACCTGGAGGGTTAGGGAGCTGCTTCTCCGACAAGTCAAGTCACCTGGTGCTCCAGCGCCTGGGTCACGGAGCTCGGCTGAAACTTCCGCACACCCTGCGCCAGAACGTTTCATACGCTCATCGGGTTCTTCGAAAACCTCTATATGGCTTGAATTATAGTCATTAAGGCCCTCTCAAGGAAGAAAAAAAGCAAACCAGGTTGCCTCAGTTTCGGGCACAGAGTCATGAACACCGAACTCCTGACCCAGGAGGCCCTGCACGAATCCCAAGGAAAGTGGAGTCCGGGCCCAAATGAAGGAGGCCTAGAATTAGCATTATTGGCATTGTTGGTGTTCTTAGAATTATTGGTATTAGTATTAGTACTAGTATTCACATTAGTAGTAGTATGAGAGTCAGAAGCACACAAGGTGGGAGCCCTTTGAGCAACTAGTCAATTCGGACTCAGACTGCGCAGGCTCCACTGGGCAGGTAAGTGGGACATAGGATCACCAAAGCAAGGTCTAGGAAATACAGCTGCAGAACAAAAAATACGTGATCGCACATTGCGTATGCAGCACAGCAGTATTTTACTGACACGTGCCCTACAGTACTGCCCATTTATTCTAGTCACATGTTCGTGCACAGTTCCAACTCCTCCCACCACTGCCGCAGCTCGGAGGGTGTTGGCTCCACACCTTCGATCCAGCAGACGCAAACGAGTTGATGAGTTTGAAACATGACACTGTCTCCGGTAATTGCCAACAATATTACTGCGCATTGGTCTTACACTTCGCGACCCGGTTAATCACTAGCTGCTACTTGTCTCATGAGTTTGGGCTGATGTCTCTTGTGGCGTGCTGTGCCAGATTCGGCTGCAGGTTTGCTAATTGAAATTGGTGCCTGGCAGTCCGAGAGCACTCATCCGGAAAATGTTCTGATCTCCCAACTACATTGCGAAAGACGAGGGAGACTCTGTGAGACAGACCAGCTCGGGCGTCTGGCTGGGAGGTCATCCATGTGAGTGTAAGTGTCGTCTAGCCAGACCAAGGAACTGGATTTTTTTGGAAGGGGCTTTCAGGCCTGCATGGGCAGTGCAGCAATCGCTTGTGGAAAGGCAACTAAGACAGTGGAAAGCTGCTAGCTTCTGCTGGGAGACACATCGCCGATTGCTGCCTGCAGGCACACTGCACGAGCCACCTTGCAGGATGCATGGCTGAAACAACCGACTGCACTTGTTCCTGCGAGAAGGTCCTATAGAGCGGAACAATGTGTCAAAGTGATCAAATAAACAAGCTGAACTCTCGTGCGGTGTCGCTACACTCTCTTGCACCCATGGGATGTACGGTGTCCTGCATAGCCATGGCTAGCAAAAGGGGATAGGAACCCCCCCCTCCCAGTCTTCGAGCGATCGAAGCGACATTCAACCCAAGTCATCGTTGCCCCATCATTCCAAGAACCCAAATACCCTGAAGCTTTTGAAAGCCCCTGACTCTGGACTCGCCCTGAAAGTGCTAAGGCCCCGTGGCCGGGTTCATCCTACAGCGCATCGGTGCATCATCACACCGGGGTAGTCGGAGGTTGCTCAGTTTCGGAGCCCCCTCTGCCCATCCCTGGCAATTCAACCGTGCGACTTTGCTTCCCCCAGCTCCGCCAGCCGAGCCTGAGTGGGCTGGGCGGCAGGCATTCCCCTCGACTTTGTACTCAAAAATCAAAGTCAAATCTATAAACCCCACTTCAGAGTTCCGGATCAAATTTCATTCTAGCAGCTGGGACTTGCTACAGAGCTGTTTTATCGTGCTCGACTCGAAAACCGGCAATAAGTTCCTCAAGCTAGGTAGTTCTTCGCTTCATCGATTCGCGGTCCGAGTTCCTTCGATGAATATTCCGTTTCTTCAACGACGCACTGCAAACGCCTAAAAGCGTTATCGATGATTGGGGCAGCATACTACAGCTCCATGGAAAGTCTGTCTAACATCGCGTCCTGAGGCCTAAAGCTTTCGGGTCTCCGGCTGAGCCCATCGCATAACAGAACGATTGGACTCTTGAGCAGCAAAGATTCGGGGACTGGGTCGAGGTTTATGGGGACCAAGGCGCTAGTTCACAAAAGTCTAAATGCAACACCTCGCCCTTTTTGACCAGCGCCAGGCCAACACAAGTCCTGCACA